TGCCCGGCTGCCTCATGCCTCGCCATTACTTTCCATGTGAGGGTTCCCTATGCCTTTTAGCCTTGGCCTCTTCTCATTTTCTGCAGTCTTTACTCCTCCTCAGAAGAGAAATAGAGGCTTCAGGCTCTGCCTAGTTCCAGCCAGCGCCCACACTTGCATATTTTTGGCTGCGTTGGGTTTCCTCGAGGGCATAGGTGAGCCAGATTTAATCTGTGTGTCTCCAGGGCCCTGCACAGGGCCTCAAGGAAAGTCAGGACCCTGTGACCGAGTGAGAAAGATGTCAGAGGCTGGAGAAAGGCAAGAGGATGGACGATGTTACCAATTCCCATCAATTGAGTATTTTGCAAGGTGCTTTGTGTCCTGAGTGGATAGATCACTGAACTGTGGGGGAGATGTTCTCATTTACATTTTATAGAGGAGGAAGCTCAGAAAGGTTAAGTCACTTGTGCAAAGTCACACAGGAAGCAGCAGAGCCAGGGCTCAAGCCCACCTCTGTCTGACCTCTCGCCCCTGGCCCGGATCCTGGTGCTCCATGCCGGTGTCACTTGTTTCTGAGGGACTGTGTCCAGTTGGGGTGGTCACCAGAAGCTTCTGAGGGGAAACAGGCCACTGGACACTCAGCCGGAGTCTAGCTGTCCCTGGGCCGTTGCTCATCCACCTCTGCTCCTGTCCTACTGCCCTCCGGATCTCTTTCCTGGCCCTTCTCCTTCAGCTTCTGGAACCCTGCTAATTACTCTTGGTAACTGCATCTTCTCTCCCCTTTGTAGGTACTTAGAGAATCACCTGGCCAACCTCTTTGCAGGAGCCTGGGAGCCTCAGCCTGAGGGGCCCCTGCCACTGGACATCCCCCAGGCTTCCCCCCAGCAGGTGAATTGCCTCTCTTCCCTGGCCAGGGACCCCACCTGCAGAATGACTTCTTCCTGAGTCACTACTGGGGCTGTGATCTTGGGGCTGATGGTGACTCCGGGTCAGCTATTTGAACCCCACGTTTTGCCCCAGGTTCAGCACTGTGTAGAGATCTTGAGCCGGGCCAAAAGGCCCCTTATGCTGCTCGGGAGCCAGGCCGTGCTGCCCCCGACGCCTGCAGACAAACTTCGGTGAGAAGCCCCTGCCTTGCCCTTACTGTCAGATCTGTGGTCCCCTGTTGCCCTGGGATGGGGGGCAGGCCCTTTGCCACACTCACCTCTGTTCTGCTTTGACCCCTAGGGCTGCTGTGGAGACCCTGGGCGTTCCCTGCTTCCTGGGGGGGATGGCTCGGGGGCTGCTGGGTCGCAACCACCCCCTTCACATCTGGCAGAACCGCAGCGCCGCCCTGAAGAAGGCAGATGTCATTGTCCTAGCAGGTGGGCCTCATCCTACCCACCCCGTCCCTTCCCTCCCTCTAGGCATGTCCCTGTGTAACCCTGCCCCTCCTAGTGGGGTCCCGGCGGGCACCCCAGCCTCATAATCGTCCACCCTCTTATCTCTCACCCCACCCCCTCCCGGACCTGAAATCCAGGTAAACTCTCAGGCTACACTTGTGTGCTGTCACCCAGCTTTGCACAAAGGAGGATGCACAGGTCGTGGGTGCCTGCAGCCCTTTAGGGACCGCATTTGTCCGTGTTACACAGCAGTGACACAGCATGTCCACCTACAGTGTATATGTTTTTACATAAAGTGCTCTGAATCCTGCCAGACATGCCATAGTTGTATCAGTTAGCTACTGCTCTGTAACATCCAGTCCTAAACTCAGTGGCTTAAAATGCACTTACTGTTCCTCAAGAACCTCCTGTGGGAGTTAGGGGGTCGTTTTTCTCATTTTGGTGGTGCTCATTCCTGAGTCTGCAGTCAGGAGGCAGGAAGGCGGCTGGGCTGACCCAGGCTCTGGACACTTGGGGGTTGTCTGGCTGTATGCTGGGCTAGCGTGGCCTCTGCTGGGTAAGTGAATCCTCTCACTCTTCCCTACCTCCTCCTCTGTATTTCTCATCATCCAGCAGGCTAGCTTGGGCTTGTTCACTTTGGTGGATGATGAGAAACTTGGAGGGCTGGGGAAGCAAGGTTATTTGAGAGAGAGAGAGAGGGAGAGGAAGCTGCAAGGCTCCTTGAAGCCTGGTCTCAGGAACGCATGCCATCACTTCTGAGACATCCTGTTGGCCAAAGCACGTCCTGAGACCTGCCGAGGATCAAGGGGTTGGGAGCTGCAAAACCTCATTGCTGGTGACACTGGTACACAGAGACCTTTCTGCATTCAGTCTACCACGGTGCATTAAGTAAGGTGGTGGGCACTCCCCAGGATGCTGGCCTTTCATCCACTGAGACCTCACCCCCTGTCCACTACCGCAGGAATGGTGTGTGACTTCCGCCTGTCCTATGGCCGTGTCTTCAGCCGCAGCAGCAAAATCATCGTTGTCAACCGTAACCGGAAGGAGATGTTGATCAACTCGGACATGTTCTGGAAGCCCCAGGAGGCTGTGCAGGGTGAGTCCCTAACAGCCCCCACACATAACGAGCGCTTCCTGGTCCCTCTCCACCTGGCCTGAGCTGCAGCAGGGGGCACACAGTTGGCCAGAGACATGTATTTGGCTCTCAGACTGATGGGTGCTTCTATGTGAACAAGTCGTAGGGTGTGCACCAGAGGGAAGGCCGGGGATGTGCATGTGTGCGCTGCCTCTAGAGCCTGCCCTGAGGGCTCTCTGTTGTCCTGTCACGGCCCCTCCTCCCCTGTGCAGTCCCCTCCCATGACCTTTCCATGCCCTGCTTTGCCCAGTGTTCTGAGGATGCTGACTCTATCCTACAGGGTAGGCGACAAGGGAACTCGGCCAAGCAGAGAAGTGGCACCGTTGTGCATTCATGTTCGGCAAGGTCCCCTGTAGCAACTGGTGGGCAGCAAGTTGGAGGGGGCCGGGTGGAGGCAGGGGGCTCTTAGGTGCAGGACAGAAACGACGAGGGCTGGAGTGGGGATGGACAGGGACGAGAAACTCAACTTCTCTGATCCTCTGTGTGACCATGCCTGAAATGGAGATGGTGAAAAATACGTCACCACTGGCTTGTTTATTTGTTCACTCTGTAAGCACTCTGCCTGCCTGCGCTTAGAGACGTGCTTGGAGGTTGGAGGTGTTTTCAGTGACATGTTTCAGAGACACAATTGACAGGACTACGTCTTCTGGGGTGTGAGGGGAAGGCAGGAAATGAAGCTGGTGTGAGTTTCTAACCTGCTTTGTGCTCCCTAAACCTCGCTTCCTCGGCCTCGCTCTCCCTGTCCCCCCGGTTGCCCTAACCTGATTCTGGTGGGCTCCGGGGTGTGTTTTCACCTGTTCTGCCCTAGGAACTCCCCTGGCCTGCCTTCTTGCCTCCCTCAGATGCCGCCATTGGCTGCCTGTTGCCTTTGGGCCTCTGCTGCTGGAAGGGCAGGAGGAGGCCACCTCCCTGCAGCTGTGCCCTCTTCCTTCCCCAGGAGACGTGGGCTCCTTCGTGGTCAAGCTGGTGCAGGGCCTTCAGGGCCAGACATGGGCCTCAGACTGGGCAGAGGAGCTTCGGCAGGCTGACCACCAGAAGAAGCAGACCTTTCGGTACGGGCTGGCTGGAGCGGGCTTGGGGGGTCGTGGGTTCCCAGCAGGCCGTGCTGCTGGCTCCGCTGATCTGTGCTGCTCCGTCACAGGGAAAAGGCGTTGATGCCCGTGGCCCAGCACCTTAACCCAGTGCGGGTGCTGCAGCTGGTGGAGGAGACTCTGCCCGACAATTCAGTTCTGGTGGTCGATGGTGGGGACTTCGTGGGCACTGCCGCCCACCTGGTGCAGCCCCGTGGCCCCCTGCGCTGGCTTGATCCTGGTAAGGAAGGGCCTATGCCTGGGGCAGCTTGCACCATCCTCGGCCCCTTCATACCCATCTGCTCTTGGTTCTCCTAGGGGCCTTCGGGACTCTGGGGGTTGGTGCAGGATTTGCACTTGGGGCCAAACTATGTCGGCCGGATGCTGAGGTGAGTCCGAGTGCACTGGGGGCAGGAGGCTTGCTGCTTTCCAGGCTGTGAGCCACCCCAACCATCCTTGGTACCTCCTCAGGTCTGGTGCCTCTTTGGGGATGGAGCCTTTGGCTACAGCCTCATCGAATTTGACACCTTCGTCAGACACAAGGTGACTGGGCTGACCCAAGGGAAGCTCAGAGCCTGGGGTTCTGGGAGATGTCATCAGGGGTGAGGTGGGCTGGGAAGGGAGCTGTTTATCTGGCAGAGGTCCTGTCCCTGTCTTTATCCTATGGCTGGCCAAGCCTTGGGACTGAAGGCAGCGGCCTGGCCTCATCCTCTCCCTGCAGATCCCAGTGATCGCCTTGATAGGGAATGATGCTGGCTGGACTCAGATTTCTCGGGAGCAAGTGCCCTCTCTGGGCAGCAATGTGGCCTGTGGCTTGGCTTACACTGGTGAGGGGCCTGGGAAGGATGGGGAGGTGGAAGCTGTTTCAGGCCTGGCTGAGGGTCAGTTCCTCTCCTGGGCAGGCTGTTTGGTGGGTGGGGTTCTGCCACCAACTGACTTGACCTCCCCTTTTAGATTATCACAAGGCAGCCATGGGACTGGGGGCCCAGGGCTTGCTGCTTTCACGAGAGAGTGAGGATCAGGTGACCAAGGTGTTGCGTGATGCCCAGCAGCAGTGCCGAGATGGCCACTCGGTTGTTGTCAACATCCTCATCGGGAGGACGGACTTCCGAGATGGCTCCATTGCCGTGTAGGGTCTTGTGGGTCAGTGCCCTTGGCTCCCTTCCCACCGCTGGACTGTGCCTAGCTGGTTTGGAGTCTCATCCTTGCCTGCCCTGGGCCTATCCCATGAGGCCCAGTGACTCTACAATCCTCCCTGATGACAGGGAGGGACTGATGGAGGTCAGAGCTCAGGGAGGCTCCCTGGCAGCACTGGAGAGCCCTTGGGCCTTTTTCTGTGGGCCCAACCGTGCTCTCTCCCCTTCTCTCTCACACACTGAATAAAACACCTCTGGTCTATGTGAGCCCAAGTACTCATCCCAGAACCTGTGCATATTGATTTATTGTCCACAAAGATGGAAGTGAGGGAAAGGAGGGGGAGACAGGAGGGGACCCTACTCTCCCACTGAACTCTGGGGCCCACTGAGGCACCATTATTGGGGATTTCAGGGTGCCTGGGCACACGAACTCTTTCCCCCACTCTGTGGTCTCTGAAAGAGCCCCACATGCCCGCTCTAGACATGTCCATGCACACTAATCCTCACACACATACACACACGCACGGAGGCAATAAATATGTTCCGTACCAAAGTGCCCCCAGCCTGACACTTCAGGTGGGGTCCCTCCAAAAGGGAGGTCTTATAAGTGCTCAGTTTCTTCAGGAATGGGGAAGAAGAGTTGGGAAGGGAGAGGGCCAGACACTGCTATCTCCATTTGCTGGTTTGAGGCAATCATGGGGTTTTCCCTGGAAAAGAGGGTAGGAAAACCAGCTGTTTGCCTATAAGCCCCAGGCTGCCCCTATCCAGCAACAGCCCAGGTTAGGGGCTTCCCCCCACCTTGCCTCAAACAGCACCTCATGGTAAGTCTTTGGGTCCACAGAAGGAGAAGCAGAGTGCATTGCTCAAAGCTAATACTGATTTGGTTGGCAGCAGCAAGGGGACTGACTGGGGGCGTGTCTCCCCATCCCTGGGTGATGCTCACAGTAACTGGTGTTTCCCTGGCCATGGGGAGTCAAGAGAGGCCAGCCCTGCAAGTAGGGTAACTGCCTTTGGCAGCCAGGGGAGAAGCCCTTGGTACTCGGGAAAGATGGCCACAAAACCTGGTCCCTAAAATTCAGTCCCTGGCCTTCGCAAACAGTGCCCAAATACTGAGCACTGGAAAGGAGGAATGATTCTCAGCAACGGGTTGGCTAGTCGCTAGGCAGCTCCCCAGGAACCAGGAGCTAGGCCTGAGCTACAGGTCTGGTTCCCCTAGGTCGTTAGGGCACCTCCTTGGCAACCAGGAGCCCGGCCTTAATAATCGGGGTCCGGCCCCGCCCGGCTCAGAGGCATACGTTGATCTGCTTGGAGAGCTCTCTCTCCAGGTCCAGGATGAGGGCATCGAAGTCTTTGAGGTTCAGGTGCGGGTTGAAGGGAGCATCGAAGTCGTCTTCGAAGTCTGTGGCGCCCGTCGGCTCGCCAACCTCTTCATCCTCTTCACTGTCGCTGCCCGTCACGTGGTCGTAGTCTGGCCCGGGCAGGAAGTCCCGCCCACAGGGAAGGAAGTCCCGCCCGCAAACGCTCCAGTCACCGGCGTACCGGTTACTTGGCGGGCTCTCGGGGCCGCCTCGGCCTCGGGGCCGAGTCACTACTTCAGGGTTGGCTAGCGGCAAGTGCAGCGGCGGCTGTCGTTTGGGCCGCAGATACGGGGCCAGCTCCCGAGCCTCTGGGGGCCTGCGGGGATCTGCAGAGAGAGAGAGAGGGAGGGCTTGGATGATGTCACGCCCAGCGGCGGCAACCAGACCTCTGATTGGCTGCTTAGGTAACCAGGCCTCTGATTGGCCTGTCGAAAGGCAAGGCCTTCGACCGGATCAGGATTTCACTGGTTGAGCTAGAATTGGTTGCTGCGGCAACCAGGTACCGGATTATTCTGACGAGGGGTCGTGGCTTTCCTGAAAGCCGAAACTCTGATTGGCCGGTCGAGAAAGCACCTTCGTGGCGGCCTGGCCCGGATTGGTGGCGCGGGGTAGGGGTGGGCTCACCTGGCCAGGCTTGCAGCAGGTAGTGCAGTACTTCGATGTGGCGCTTGAAGTCCACTGCATTGGAGAGGCCAGGGCCAGAGCTGCGGATGCGGGGCCTGGCGGGGGCCTGGCGCGCCGGCAACAGCACGGGACCGAAGCACACCGCCAAGTTCTGCGGGTTCATGCGGTTGTGAGCATGGAAGGAGGAGACAAGGCGCAGGTGGTCCAGGAGAAGAGTCAGCGTAGCCTGAGAGGAGAGGGTTGGGTGGGCATAAGGGAGTCAAAGTCGGTTCCCTGTCGCACCTGAAGGAGACTAAGGCGGTTCAGAATTGGGAAACTGAGGTTCAAAGTCTCATAGCTGAGAGATGACCCAGATAAGACTTAACCATTAGGTATTCGTATTATGATCCCATTTTGCTGAAGGAGAGACCGAGGCCAAAGGTAATTTAGCTTTGACATGGCAGAACTTGGGCTTGAATACACTCCTCTGTGTGTTAGGCAGGGCTGGTATTAATCCCATTTTACAGATGAGGATATTAAGGCACAGAGAAGGTTGGGACTTGTCCAGGATCCCACAGCCAGGAACCTCGCTCATGGTAGGTTGACAGACTTGTGTTCAGAGTCTGTACTTTTGATACACCCTGCCTGTGAAACCTTAGGTAACTCACTCAACTGCTCTGGACCTGGGCTTTCATGTCCATAAAGTGGGGATACTAACAGCACCTATTTTCTAGGGTTGTGATGATGCCACATATTCATGGCCATCACTGGCCCAGGCATGGGTGAAGTACTCTGCTGATGTCAGCCCACTCCTTGTCCCGCCTGCTCCCACCTGCTCCCACCAGGCCCAACTCACCCTCTCCACATCTGGCAGGCAGTTGAGGAGCCCACGGGTGGCCTCAGTGCTGGAGGGATCCCTACTTGGGGGCCCTCGGGCCATGGCCTCCAGCACCACCTGATAGAGGGGCTGGGTGATGAGCGGGGTAGGCAACTCCCGAAGATAATCCTTGAGGATGCCTGTGGACACAGGGCCCACTCTGGTCAGAGCACCCATGGTTTCTGAGGCTGGAGGTTCAGCTGGGGCTGGGAGGGGAGGAAAGGGGAGGAGGATAGGTAGGTGGAGGAAGGTGAAAACAAGACTAGACAGAAGGGGTGATGTCCCAGAGGGACCACAGGGATTGCTTTGAGGTGAAGGTTGAATGGGGAGCAGGCAGGAGAGAGAAGGGGCATGCTGACCAGTGATGACATTGATATCGGGGTACAGGTCCTCAGAGAGGCAGACAGCTGCGCTGTCCCGCTCAAAGGCATCTCGAAGCTCTTTCTTCACGGCTGCTGAGCCACACAGACGGTACAGCCCCACCACCTGGAGGTAGGAGCAGAGAGGGCATGTCTTGCCAGGGCCACAGACTGATCAGGGCCCTATAGGGTGGGGGCCAGAGGTCTGTGCCAGGGTGGCAATGGGCTGAGAGCTGTAGCTTCACTGGCTGCCTTCCTGCTTCCTGACACTTGTCATGGGGAACTCACCTGGCAGCCTGGACAACCTGGCCCTGTAAACCCTCCGGATCACTTGTCCTGGCACTCAGTTCCTTTGGATCACGAAACTCTGACTCCTTTTCTACTTGTCACCTCCTTTGGAAAGCCTTCTCTGACTACCCTAACCAGCAGGCCAGGTCCTGTTTTAAGCTCTCCCAGCTTCTTCACTCTTGTCTCAGCCAGTTTTACCTTTGTGATTTATTGGAGTCATGTCTTTTTCCCCATCAGACTCTGAGCTCTGGAAGGTCTGGGATCCTCTGTTACTAAATGATCAGATGACCTACAGGTTCTGGGCTAGGTGCTAGGGTCTGAGGGGGTGCCTCCTGCCCTTGTCTAGGCTAGCAGTGGAGCTAGGAGTTCCTCAGGTTGGGATAGGGGAAAGCCTGGCCTCTGTACCCTGGGTGTTCTGGTGAGTGGTTCTGATGTCTGGGGGCTATCTAGGGTGGGGTGAGGGGCTTACCCGCAGCCCTCGGCGCTCGATCTGCCCAACACACTTCTGGATGATGAGGGGCACCTGGCCTGGAGACTGCTCCCGCTCCACCAGCAGTGGTAGGGGCAGCCCGAAGACACGGGGCTCAGCAGTGCCTGGTGCTTCCTGTTGCTCTGACAGGGTCAGCTTGGCATACAGCAGCCCTTGGGGCTCCAGGCGCACGGCCAGCTGCTGGGCCTGGCACCCTGAAGGCAAGGGGGCCTCCTGAGCTGGGTCCGCCCCCACAGGCTCCTGTGCCCTGGCTTGCTACTCCAAGCCACACCCCCACCCTGGGCTTAGTACCCTGGCCACTCTGGTGAAAGGTGGAAGCCCTGAGCTGAATCCTGTGCCCCACCCCTCCTCCCCTGTAGCCATGCTTCCTACCTCGGAAAACCGTGGGCAGCAGCACGGTGCCCTGGGCACAGGGCCGGTGTCGCCGAACACCCGGGTCCCAAGCCAGCACTAGGGCCCGCAGCAGCCGGGCAGCCTCGAGTTCCAGGTGGAAGGTGTGGTCCAGCCGCAGGAAGTCTGGTCCCCCACGCAGCGGCCCCGTTCGGGCCCGGGCCACCCCGTCCACCTGCAGCAGGCAGCAGAGGTCTCGAGGAGTGGCCCCCGGGTGCCGGCCGCAGCCCCCCCAGCCCGTACAGGTGCAGGCTGAGGCGGCCCCAGAGTGCAGCCGGGGGCGTCCGGGCCGATGGGCCCACCTCATAGGGGCGGAAGGCGGTAGGTGATGGGGGCCCCGCTGGACGCTCAGGCGAGTCGCCATCACTGAGGTAACCGGCCCTGGGGCCCGGGGCGCCCTCAGCCACTGCCGCCCGCCCCGGGGTCCCCACGCTGCTGTCCAGGTGGTAACGGCTGATGACCGAGCCTGCGGGGGCGGCCCGC